CAAAGAATGTATACACATGGCCAGTAAGCACATGAAAAGATATCCAACTTCATCATTCATTAGGGAAATGCAAACCAAAGCCACAAGACATCACTTCTACCTATTTGCATGGATACCATTTCAAAATGGACAAGATGTCTTAGAGAGGATGTGGAGAAATTAGAATTCTCATATGTTGCTGGTGGGGAAACAAAATGATGTAGCCACCATGGAAAATAGTCTGATATTCCCTCAGAAAATTATACATACTAATTCCCATGTACGTACCCAGGAGAAATAAAAAACATACCTTCATGTGAAAACTTGTACACAAATGTTCATAGCAGCGTTATTCAAAAAAGTGAAAAAAAACTACAAACGTCCATCAATTGATGAATGAATTAGAAAAATACGGTGTGTTCGTACACTGAAATATTACTCGGCCATAAAGAGGAATGAAGTACTGATCCATTCTATAATATAAATAAACCTCGAGCACCTTCTGCTAAGTGAAAGAAGCCAGGCACAAGAGGTCACATATTTCATGATTCCATTTCTAGGAAACGTCCAGAACAGACCAATCCACAGAGCCACAATGCAGACCGTGGGAGCTGGAGCCGGAGGCAATCGGGACTAACTGAGGCTAATGAGAATGAGGTTTCTTTTCAGAGTGATGGGAATATTCTGGAATTAGATGGTAGTCATGGTTGCCTATAGAGTGAATATAATAAAAACCACTAAAATATTCACTTTTAAATGGATTTTATGTTAAAATAAGTCTCTCTCTCTCTAAAAAAGAAATGGGAAATAAGTAAAAATCAATTCCTGTATCGTTATGACAGGTATTCAAGACAAAGATCTCTTTGTGGTTAAGAGCGTCAGCTGTACAGGTACCTGCCGGGGGGGCTGTCCCACAGGAAAGGCATCTCCACCTGTGAGTAGCCGGTGCTTCTGGGAATTACAGCACGATTAGGAAAGATTCCTGCAATGATGATGATGAAGAAAGAGTCTAATCGCTAAATAACACAGATGCTGGGCAATGCTCTGAGCTTTTTTATACACGCTCATCATTGACTCTTCACAACAAACTTGAAGGTGCATCCGAATCACCCGGGACGGGGTGACGGGGGGGGGGTGAGAGGGCTTATGACAACTCAGATTGCTGATCTCCATTCCCCGAGTGTCTGATTCAGCGGGTCTGCGATGGGGTTCTAGCATTTGCTTTCCTAACAAGTTCCTCGGTGGTGCAGATGCAACCGGTCAGGGAACCCACTTGGAGCCCCAGGAGATGGGTGCTACTTTATGCCCCATTTTACAAATGAAGATGGTCATGGCAGTGGGGTACACAAAGTCAAGGATGGTGCTAGATTCCTGTCAAAAGTGAAGAAATAAATCTGCTTCAGACCGGCAGAGCTTAGAAAGGGAAGCTGAGCATTGGAAACTTTGGCCTCGTCCCTCACTCCCAGCCCCCATCACTCCCTGGCAAACTGGATTCTGGGTGCCAGAGGGCACCAGGAGAATGGAGCATGAGCACTGAGGACATCAGAGATAAGGAACCAAAGCTCCCCTGGGCCAGGCTCTGGACTTCGATGCAGATGCCGGCTTACCTGGTGTCACCCTGAAAGAAGGAAAGGACAGGTGAGCCACACAGAAGACATGCTGCCTGCACTGGGCTGGGCCGCTTCCCACCCCAGTGGCTTCCCCTAGGGTGTTTTGCCTGGTGCCTCCTGGGTGCTTTGTTTTCTTCCTTGATCATTTGTCAGAAACAAAAGGTCTACATCTTACCTAAGATCAATTCATTGTCAGATTTTTAAGCCTGCCTCTGATGACAATGCTTCAATGACTCATGATTTTGAGAAGCTCAGGTTTTAAAAAAGGGAGGTTCATTCATTCAATTCTAAAGACACACATAAAACATTCCTTT